GCTATTTAATCCAATATTAAAATTCTTTACTTAAATCCCGAGACTTTTAATTTCATTTCTAAATTGAACACAAAACTTTCAAAATTTGCAATTTAGTCACTGACCCTGATTTGGGATGTTACACCATCTCTATAGTTCGATATTGATAAAGTAAATTCAAATTCATTTAACCCACGAGTACTTGGAATAAACTGGTGGATGCTAAATTACCTAAGGACTAATAGGGGAGTATAGCCAATCGCACCCCATAACCCATGTAGCATGAATAAATCATTATCTCCACATCTATATTTTATGTCCTCCTTTGATAGCCAATATGCTTTCCAAACCACTTCGGTGTCATTAATGTTTCTCAAAGATTCGATCCATGCTTTCCTTTTACGATGGTCGGGAATCTTAAAATGCTTGAGGAAATCCTCTAAAGGAGAAAAGTCTGATCGACAACTTCGAGTCCATCATTTTCCAACTACCCAAGAATGACTCCACCACCAAACCATCAGTAAATACATGTATCCAATGAATCAAACGTCACCAGATCGTCTGCACTCATTTAAGGATATGCACACTTATACTAAAATAACTAGAGCGAGATTGATCATTCTTTCCAAAACTTCAAAGAAATCTATTATTGTGATGTTAATATGACACAATTATTTAGTTAATATTGCCAACCCATAGATTGCTAAGGCAAACAAGTCTCTTTTTCTTTTTCAATGGTTCTTGTTCATAAATTAAGCCTTTCAAATTTGCCCAAGAAATTACATCACTCTGAGTGTGTTCAGCTATCCACTCGTTTGATTTTCCAGTGAGCGACACAATCTTTGCTACAAATATTTTTGATAGAGTTGTTTTGGTATAAACTAAATACCTCCAATGTTTGGTATGTTCATTAGAGAAGTGTACTCTTCAATGGTGGGGATCATATCCACTTTGCCAAAGGTAAAGCACCTGTAAGCAATATTTCAACATTCTGACATAGCTCAAATAACATCAACATCAATTGGGATTTTCAACAACTCGACTATGTCAACAAGCTTTTCTCTTTTTTATCCCAACTATCCCAAATTTGCAGAAGCTCTACCCAATGATTTTGTAATAAAATTTTGTGGGCAATTTATAATCCTCATCAACAATAAGACTATCTCAAAATCAGGCTTTCTTGAACTCAAGCCACAATTGAATCTCTAAAATTCTCTCAAACCCATCGGGAGCCATTGCGATCTCAAGAATTCTCTAGTGAAAATTGGATGATTCGGGGATCAATACCTTCTAATGACATGCCATGTTTATGTAATGATAATGAAACATGCAAGGCAAAAAGACAAACAAGAAATAAAGTTAATATAACTAAAAATAATTAAAGTAAAGCAAGAAAATTTAATCATGAACTAAATTGTAAATACGACAAGTAAAACATGCAAATAGATTCCAAGTCCTAATCGCACGAGTTCTAATTCTCTTAGGGTATCCACATGGCTCTAGAGGGGTGGGATTGTTAAATTCTCTATATGAAGTTCGGTTGTAAAAAAGGGTTTCCAAACTGTGTTTACAACCTGTTAAGATTAATAAAGACTTCGATTATGACCTATTACAGACTTTAATTAAATTCAGTTCAGGGGATCACACCACTAAATGTATGTCATGGAAGACAATATCCGTACAGACACTTAAAATGCTTTCCAGAAGTACTTTGCAAGACCTACACGAGGAAGACACATTTAGTTCAGGTGAAATAGGATGAAGCTCGGGTATAGAGCTATGAGATGCAGTAGTTCTAAATATGTTCAATCAAGTGAAAACACTAACTAAATATAAGATTTTTTTTTCAATTTTTTAAAAGAACATAATGAATTATAAATTAAATAAATTCAAACTCAAAATTTCTAAATTCTAAATATAGGGTAATCAAATCGTGGCTTGACTCTTTATTTGTTTTAGAAAACAAAAGTTCCAGTAGAGTCGCCAAGTTGTCGTAACCGGCCTTTCGGGGGAAAAACCAACTAGTTGCAACGATGTGTTTTTTTTGGGGAAGATTTTGAAATGAAATGTTAGGAGTTGCCACCAATCATTTTTAAGGTGTGATTGGACACCTAAAATCGAGTAGATTTAATAACATATTTTATTTTATCAAACCAAATTTTGATATGTAGAAACCAGAAAACGGGTTTGAGAGTCAGTTATGTGTAGGGAATGGTTAGCACCCCACAACACCCAAAAATTGGTACCTAGTCGATCCTATATTTGGAATTTGAAATTTGAGTTCATGGTTTTATTTAATTTAAAAAATCATCATGGATGCAAATTTGAAAATGATACTCTTATTGAGACCAAATACATCCACCCTCAACCATTAATGCGAAAGCTCAATTATTGACCAAATAAACGAACATTATCTTAAAGATTAAGAAATCATGATATGGAGTTTTAAGAATGATGTTGATAAACTTCGGGAATTACCAGTGGTCACCCTGTGAGCATATCATCGCGGAGGATACACTATTAATTCCTTGATAAATGAACAATGACTTATTATTTTAAAATCAAGATGTACTCAAACGACCATTTAAAAACCTAGTTATGCTGGGTAAGTTAATTAATGCAATCCAATAACTTAAAGTGTCAAATTATGAAAATTAAAATATATAGCAGACTAAACCTAAAAATGGAGTCTCTAATATTAATTGTTACTTATTTTAATCAATTATTGAATCGAATAATCGAAATGAATCTTAGGATGAAAACGAGTGTGTACACCTGGTAATTTCAATAATAAATAGCTGACCCTATTCCCATGTGTAATGGGATAAGGAGGAGGTAGGATAGTAGGTTGCCCTAAATGCCAAATTGAGAGCAGCTTCCGTGGAAGACCTCCGACAGTCAGAATTATGAATTGCCCACCGTGAGACTCGATCCCACGACCACAAGGTTAAGCGCTTTGCGCTATACCGTAATTTCAATAATATCATCAATAATTATTAGAAACTTTGATAATATTAAGATATTGATTGATATAGACAAATAATTATATATAAATTATAAATAGATACGACGTTATGATTTTTTTAAGGTATTAAAAAATTATTGTCTTTTTTTTCGTCTTTTCTTTTTACTTCAATTCTATATATATTTGTTAGATCAAGGATATTTGTTGGTATAGAATCAAGCAAAATAATATCTATTGAATCTGAGAGACCCATTGTGGCTAAGCTATCTGCGACTCTAAAATAATACTTGTTGAATTCGAGAGATCCATTTTGGTCAAACCAAAGAATAATTATCAGCAGAGTCGTCATATTTATTACTACCGTAAGAGAACTAAACTAAATGATTAATATTATACTTTACTACTCCGTCTCATTTAAATGTCCATTATTTATTTTTTTTGTCATTTTCTTCAATTTTGATTCATTATTATTTAAAATTTATTATCAATAAGAATATAAAAAATATTTTAAAAAATCTTCAATCAAATAGTTTTTAAATATATATTTTTATAAAATTTAATTTTTAAAATATTTAAAATAATCATGGTTAAAATTTAATTTTTTTGACTTTTAAACTATAAAAAATTGACAAATTTAGTGGGATATAAATAGTAATTATTAAGTAGTTATTTTAATTATTTCATTTAAAAATGAATTATATCATAAAACAAAAATTAAAATACATAACAGCAAGCAAACAGATCTTAAATGTTTACATGTAATTTCAATTACACTCTTAATATTATTATGACACAACCGTCAGTTGATCATTTAAGAAAAGTTATTAGAAAAAAAATACGTCAACACAAATGTTGATCGTTAGATGATTGTAAGTTTTTTATACTCCAAAAATTCTTTATTTGAAAAAAATCATAATTTAAATTGTAAAATAATAAATATGCAATTAAAAAATGAACACGTGGAGAGTTTATTTAACCATTATCCCTTTCATAAGTTAACGAACACTAATAAACAAATACTAGATAATGAGATATACTATTGTTTAAAAAAAAAGAAATTATATTCGAATAATAAAGATAATATAAATAAGAAATAATCATAATATCTAGGGGAAAATGTGTATAAAGAAAATAGGTATCCGTGCTTCAAATGTAAAGATAAGTGGTTGAATTATTTGGGAGAGGTACACAAAGACAGAGATGCATACATGGACATGGTTGGTTGGTCGAGCGTTGATCCCCATAAAATTACATTTTCACATTCCTAATGCCCTATCCGTACGGGAAAGCTCACGAGATGAGATCACATGGCATCGACCATCAATAGTGCTGAACCCACACCTCCTATGTCCTACCCTATCTTTACTCTTCCATCCCTGCCTGTCTGTCCTCCACTACCCGCAAATCAATGCCCCTCAAAATTCTCCTTTCTAAATTTACCTCTCCATCGACTCTAATAAAATAATTAAGTTGATTACTTATATTTTTTTATTTAAATTTTTTAAAATTGAGTTGAATCCATAAAATTAGTGTTGATGTATTTGAGTGTTTGTTTAAATTTAATTTTAAATATTTATAATATTATAATATTATTTTATTTTAATTTAAATTATTTTTACACAAATTAAATTATTTTAATGGATAAAAAATGATTATTATTCTTTAATGTCTCGATTTTGAATACCGCATGTGCTAAAAGTATTAACATTCGTTGTCAAATGGTAGAGTTTTTAAATAAATATTATTTTTTATTTATTCTAGAATTATTAGAAAAAAACTTAAATTGTTTTGTATAATCGTATGCAACGTACATATATATATATTTTTATATATAATACATATATATTATATAAAATTAAGACTGAAATTAAATTATTCAAATTTTATTTGATATTTCAACTCAAATTTATAATTTTATGAAATTACATGATATATTTTTCAAGTTGAATAAAATAAAAAGAAATCAACTTTTTCAAAATTGACTGGAATTTTTCTCAGTCCATATTGCTTTCTCATTTTCAAATAAATTCCCTCTATATATCTATGCCCCTAAGCCACCCGTCACTCATTTACTACTATATCCTATCCGTTTGCAGCGAAAATGCACCCATCTCCGGTGCTTCTAAAGCTCATCGTCGTATCTATTTTGCTCACAGTAACTACAGTCATCGGATACCGTCCATGGCCTCATTTAAAACCCAACACCTCCGACTTAATGTACGGAAGCTCCAAGAAATTCGAGGGCTCATCGGAGTTCGTTCAAATGAGATACCACATGGGTCCAGTCCTCACTGCCAACATCACCATCCACATTATCTGGTACGGCCGATGGCAGAAGTCCCAGAAGAAGATCATCCGTGAGTTCATCAACTCCATCTCCGCAGTTGACGCCAAGCGACCTTCTGTCGCCGGGTGGTGGAAGACCGTACAACTTTATACAGACCAAACGGGTGCCAACATCTCCCACACGGTTCATTTAGGGGAAGAGAAGAATGACCGCTTTTACTCCCACGGGAAGTCCCTCACGCGCCTCTCGATACAGTCCGTGATAAAAAGTGCGGTGACCGCGCGTACGAAACCGCTGCCGATAAACCCCAAAGGCGGACTCTTCCTCCTGCTCACCTCCGATGACGTGTATGTCCAGGATTTTTGCGGCCAGGTGTGTGGGTTCCATTACTTCACATTCCCGTCCATCGTGGGGTACACGCTCCCTTACGCGTGGGTTGGTAACTCGGCGAAGCTTTGTCCTGGCGTGTGCGCCTATCCCTTCGCCGTGCCGGCGTACATGACGGGGTTGAAGCCGTTAAAGTCACCCAACGGTGACGCGGGAGTGGACGGGATGATAAGCGTTATAGGACACGAAATTGCTGAGCTGGCAACCAACCCCTTGGTGAACGCTTGGTATGCCGGGCAAGACCCCGTGGCACCCGTCGAAATAGCGGATTTATGTGAGGGTATCTATGGAACTGGAGGCGGTGGATCTTACACGGGACAGATGTTGAACGATAGAGATGGTGCCACGTTTAATATGAATGGGATCAGACGGAGGTACTTGGTTCAGTGGGTTTGGAATCATATTGTTAATTACTGTACTGGGCCTAACGCTCTCGATCAATAATTTATTATAATTTTAGGGTTTTTTTTTCATTGTTTTTGGATTTCCTGGTATTGTCCTATCTTGTAGTTGGGTTTATTAAATTTGTACCTTTTGTATTTTGTGTTATTCCTTGCTATAAGATTTCCATAGTGTTTGAGGAACAATAATTTTGTTTTCAAATCTGGGATTGACCCACTTTTGTTTTTAAGTTTTGTTTTTTCCCATTTTCTTACAAGATTGAGTTCAATTAGTTTTTTTGTTGTTGTATAAATTGAGTTTAATTATTTACAACAACAACAAAACCTTATTCCCATATGCAATAGGGTAAGGGGAGGTAGAGTAGTAGGCTGTTTTTAATGTCAGGTTTAGAACAACTTTCGTGAAAGATTTTTGACAGTCAGAAAATTAAAAATAAAAATAAAATACAATATATGTATATGTATAAATAAATAAATAAATTAATAAATAAATAAATACATAGTTGAATAGTCTTCATATGCAGCGCGTATGTAATGGTTGAAAATAATTTAATTTTTATGGTTCACAATTTGTGGTTTGTCCTAGTTTTCATATAGGAAAAAACATATTGTAAAAAAATGGCTTGTTCTGAAATGACTTTTAAAATTTAACAGCAATCGACTATTGATGTTGTGTTAACAAATATCATGGAGGCTTTATTCTTTCTTAACTAATCGGGACGATGATATTGCATCGGTCTATCTCTGTTCCTACGATATAAATAGATTGAAGTCATTCCTTTCTAGACAATACATATGGCTTCTCATGTTATATAATCACTCAAAATCACCGTATTTGGATTTAGAAGATAACGATAATCAAGAATACAATCATATTGCGTCTTTTATTAGAAATAAATATTGCAAAATCACACCGTTAGCACCGACATGAAAGATTAAAAATAAAATCAGTAAATGAACAACCAAAATCGTGTCTTGGTGAAATCACTGACTTAGAAATAAATTCGTCCCGATGTGTGTTATCGCAACGTTAGACGAATTGTCCCCCAAGATTAAAATAGTTGCTCCGATATTTCATACATCCACAAACCTGAGTGGACTGCAGTGGAAATGAAGAGATGTGAGCGGCGACAAAGATGGATAATGTAGGAATTAGGGTTGTCAGAAAATCAAGAATAAAGATTAAGACAATAAAGACTAAGATAATAAAGATAAATAAAGACAAGAAAGATGAACATAAAATAAATAATTGATAAATATATAATGACCTAGCCAAATTAGGGTTTATGGCCAAATCGTGGAGATGGTGGCGTAGATGATATCGATAATGAAGATGGATATAATAGAAATAGATGGACAATTGTACTATCGAATCGTCTTTGTCGCAATGAAAACACAAACTTGATAAATTAATCTAACCAGTCCTCCTAATTGCAATGAACAGGGAAACCAGAGTGTGAAGATCTCTCTCACAAAGAACTTGAAAAGAACTTAATGAAAAGAAACTTTGAAGGCACAAGTAATCAACACTTGAAAAGATAAACTCTCAATGTTTATTTTTTTTAAAACAAATATGTGATTACAAAGTTGAATGAAGCCTCCTTTATATGAGAGAAGTTCTAAAAGCCCTAAATAGCTAATGAATAATAATAAATAATAATAATAGTAATAATAAAACTAAACATGTTTTAATTCTAATTCATAATAAATAATAATAAACTAAGAATAATGTTTAAGTTAATATGAATTTCCAATAAACTAATAAATCTAATCCTAAAAGATAATGCATCATCATGTATTAAATTATATTACAAATAATCAATAAAAATATTGAAAATTCGTAATAATTATAAAATCTCATATTAATCTTGTATAGGAATTTCTACGTGCACTGTCTTCACTAAAATGAGCATATCTTGACTTTCTGGTATCAAATTGATGTGATTCAAGAAGCATTGGAAAGATAGAGACAGTTGGTCGTCACTGTACAAGAAATATTGACCAAATAAAATCAGTATCATATTAAAAAAGTAGTCACAAGTCTGTTATTATTCTATTCTTCTTTTCCAAGGCTTGGTCATGTGGATCAGTTGGAAGTATTACTTCATCTTCCTTTGATGTGAGCCTTGTGGTGCATTTGTCTTAAGTGAAATTGGGGCAAAGAAAACGATGGACATTCAAAAATTACAACGATCAATCCTAGGATCTCATGCATATCATACTTGTCAACACACATTTTTCGTTCTACTAGGATTCAAACTCCTAAAAATAGGATAGAATTTTAGGATTCAAACTCCTAAAAATAGGATAACATTTTGCTAGGATTCAAACTCCTAAAAATAGGATAGAGTTCTACTATTATTTAAATTCCTAAAGATAGGATCCACAAGCACTATAAATAGCCATTGTAACTCACCATTGTAACACACGATTTATACACAAAACATAGAGGAAAGCACGGGAAGATACAAAGGCAAAGCTATTGTAAAGGATTCGAAAAGGAAATAAAAGGTAGCATTTTCTTTTTTCTTTCTTTTGCATGTGCACGCTATTTTTCTTGAGATTTGGTTCGAATAACCCAAAACGTGGGTTGCTCCGATGACCAAAATGGGTGGGGTTTCGAAGTTTCGAACCTAGATCTACCCCGAGGCTTATTTTTAAAAACCGGTTTGATTTTCGGTTAAAGGAGGGAAAGAGCTTTTTAAAAATCTATATTAGTCCCTTTATTTATTATATGGATATTTTATTCATTTATTTTTATTATTCATGTTATTATTATTATATGTATATATATATATTAAATTATTTTCATTTGATTTTTACTATATTTTATTATTATTATTATATATATATTTCTTTAATATTTTACTTATAAGTCTAATATTACTATATATATATAAATTATCTTTATCTAGTCATATATTTTTTATACTTTTAATAGTTTATTTATATACATATTATTAAATATATATATTCTTAATTATTTTTATTTGATTATTTCTTTATTTATGTAATATATCTTATAATTTTATATATTTTTATTATTTTTATTATTATTTTCGTTTTTTATTCATTATTATATATTATTTTTTTTAAAAACCTTGTGTCTTTATCATTATCATTATTAAACATTATATTATATACTACTAACCTAGAGGGCCCATTTTTTGTCTTATTTCTTACTAGAGCCCCCCATTTTCGGTGAATTGGGAGGGTAGCTTTTCTATTTTTTAAGTATTTGGTGTACATATATCTTATTTATTTATTAATGCTTTGATATATATATATTTATTTTTTTTTTCCTTTTTTCAAATATTACTATATATAATTATTACTTTACTATTTTTTCTTATCTTACTTACTTAATTTATTTATTTTATTTTTCCCTTGTATCTTATTTTTTTTACCTTGTTTATCTAACACATTTCTCGATTTTTTTTCAAATCAATCAAGGGTAAGTAATTAGGATCGAAACTTTACCTTTTAATTTAACTTGTTATTTTTATTAATTAAGACAACTGGAAATTACGTAGTACCGAAAGGGCGGTTCAAGGGCTAATCCTTCCTTGACCGTAACCGACTCCCGAACCCGACATATTCTGGTAAGACGCAGATCAGGTAAGAAATAGGGTATCCGATCAACCCATTTATTTTTAAATAAATGATCGGTGGCGACTCCAATCCACATTTTTCAAATTGAAGCCCAATTCCGGGGCCCAACCGAAAGACGGTTGCGACAGCTTGGCGACTCCGCTGGGACCGTAAGTGAGTCAGGCTAAGGTAATTTCCAGTTGTTTTTTTTAATGAAAAGGGTAAGTTTAAATTTTAAGGTACATTTCGATCCTTATTGCTTACTTTTGATTATATTTTCGAAGTAAATAGTTGTACTGACCGTTTTTTAATGATTTCAGCCCTTAAGATTTTCATCTAAAGGCTCTATACCCGAGCTCCGAACCCTATTTAAGTGGGGGTGAAAGCGACGCCTTCGTGTGAATTTATTCTCCGTATGGGCCTAGCAAGTAACCTTCGGGATTCATATACCTTATGCCTTCGTGTGAATTTATTCTCCGTATGGGCATAAGGGAATGTTTCCTCTCGAGTTTAACTTAGTCCACACAAGCCTGTGATGGGTTTAGGACTAAGGGTCTGGCAAGCCCAAGGGGGCACCAGCAAGGAGAACTCGGGTACCATTTTTTAGCACCTAACCGGGAGACCATGGAGAATTAGAGCCCACCCCAAACCTCATTTCAAACCCTAGGCTGCTTTGTTTCCTGCTTTAGTTTCTGTTCAAAGCATGCGAACTAGACAAATATGCGGTTAGGATTTGTTTGAAAGTAGCATGCGGGATAGAGATCATGTCCGGGTAGGAATAATAAGCATGTGGGGTAGATATCATGTGGGGTAGGACTTTTATTTTTATGATCGTTTTTTATTATTTTTTTCACCTCACTAACTCTTTTCATCTTTATTTTATTTTATTTTATTTTATTTTATTTTCATCACTTGCATCATAAAAGAGGTCATTGATCCACTAAAACGTGTTTGTTAAAATTTGAATAATCTGAATCCATGGACAAAGGTGTTGTAATACAAGAGATTAAAAACCCCGAGATACGACTATGGTCCGAGAAGACTCAGAAGAAAAAGGGAGACAGTCTTCAAGGAAGCTATGTGTCAGAGCTGGTTAGCTACGCCTATATCAGCCTAAAACAGAATAATGTGCAAAGAACTTCGAGACATCTGAGATAGTTGGAAGATGATCGGAAACAGAAGTTCAGTCAACGTATGGTGACATTGTATTTTTGCTTCATGTTAAGACCGATGAGCCCTTAATCAGAGTCTTGGTTCAATTTTGGAACCTGGGATACAGTTGCTTCACTTTTAACCAGGAGGACATGGTACCTACCATCGAGGAGTATACTATACTATTGCACTGTGAAAGCATTAAACTGGAGCGAGCCTACGTCAAACACATCAAGAGTGAGCCTTTCAAGAACGGGCTGGCTAAGATTGCAGGAGTTGATGAAAAATGGGTGACTGACCGACTCCGAAACAAAGGTAACGGGCAAGGAATTGAGTGGATCCACATAAGGGAACTAATGAAGGACCACCCTGATGAATGGAAGACTATAGACCTT